TTTTAATGTTATTTTATTTGAATACCCTTATTCATTATAAACACTTTTAATCTTATCTATAGTTGTTAAGCACTTCTCAATTATTAGAGGGTAAGATTGAAAATTTAATAATTACTCAATGTTGTGTATCAGAATTATTTTTTTTTTTTTGGCCTTTTCTGCTGTGCAGGATTAATTTGTGTTAGACGTTGTGTCTTGTCTTCGCCTTTGTTGTTCTGTGTTTGATTCTGTAAGGAATGATTCTTTAGTGGGCCCAAACAAAGTGAAGTGTTTTGGGAGGGAGGGAATGCAAGTTTCTTTCTTGATGTTATATATAACTCATTTTTAACCCCCTCGCTAAAATTAATAAGATGTAATTAAAGTATTAATGCTTTTGTAAAAATGAAAGAAAATTTTTAATTTAATTTTATTAATATAATTTTTCAATTTTATAAAGTATTTTTTCAGTCATTTAACTTTAAGATCATCATTCAAAAATAATTACTTTTTGTGTCAATTATTATTATTTAAAAAATTAAATTTTACATGACAACATTCAAGAATATTTTGTTAATATTTAAAAATTTAATGTAAGAATTTTTTTAATAAAACTAATATTGTTATGATTAAATTAAAGCACTAAAAGGTTACTTTATAAAATTATTAGATAAAAAATTTTGTGTAAAATTAAAAAATTAAATATATATTTTAGTCTTAAAATAATTTTTCTCTCGTGTAAATTTTTACATAAAATTGGAGGAAAGTAATTAATGATTCCCATTTTTATGCAAAGTAACATATAAAAAAGAATATGAATTTCTTCTAAAAAGGACTTATATGAAAGATCAAAGAGAGTACTTTTACTAGTACCTTATACACACACATTCACACACATATAAGATGGTAGGTTATTAAATTTAGGTTAAAGCCCTACAAACAATCAATCTACACATTAAGATTAATAGATATCATTAATGACTATTAGTCATTAATGAACCCCTTAATTACAATTAAGGCTTAATGCTCTCATTAAGCGTGATTAACTAAAACTAACCCATAACTAACTTTCATTGGCTTATTTAATCTTCATTAAGCTTAATAAACACTATAAACAAGCTTTATTAAATTAATATAGCTAACTTAACATTAGGGTTAATCTTAAATCCATCATTAGTGCCCTTAATCAGTGCCATGAACATAAATTCAAGATTAAAAACTCAAAATATCACCTCTTGGACTTCATTAGAACGGCATAACATGGTTGTCATTCCAGGACAGCACTTAGACACTCCAAAAATCCCAAGAAAACGAAAGAAGAAGATAGGAGAAGGAAAAAGAAAGCTTATTTGAGGATTAGATAGCCTAGAACCATCCCCAATCACTCTCAATGGCAAACCCTAGTAGAGCTCTACTCTTCTTCTCGCTTCCTCTCTCAAAATATTTTTTTCTTTGTTGTTTGAAATGTATCTCTACATTTTAAAAATTCAATGCATCTGCTATGATTGGCTCAATTCATTAACCCTAATTTATGCCCCACTATTTTAGGCCCAAAGTGACTTAATAATACTTAGGATTTGAATTTAACCTCCATACAGGGTCCAATGGACCTAATAGCCATCCAATTATCCTAATTAATTAATTAATTAAATTAGAACTTGAATTAATTAATTTACCCCCTAATTAATTTTATAAGTCTACAACATATCCAATGCGATGTTATATTGTAGATTCATACAATACGATATCTATTATTTTAACCCCGTAATACCAATAACCAATAAACAATAAATATATAGTGTGTGTATTAATTTATGTTGGTATGAGTAATAGGAATTTTTTTGGAGGACAAAAGTAGTAGGCGAAGGGTACCCGTCCGTCTTCTTGAGGAGATTTTTAATAAATACAATATTAAAAATGTTGATAATCTTCTAACTGACTTTTTTAAAAGATTAATATATAATTTATATTAATATATTAGGATCCATAATGTGAAATAATTTGAATAAGAATTTGTGTGGCATCTTTGTTTATGATGGAATGAGAATCTCAAAATCTACATTTATTTTCAACTCCTCAAAGCATAGGCCTTATCCATATAAGTAATAGAAAACATACGAAAGATTTGAAATATTATTTTCAAACACTAGAATGAAACACGTTCTTATCACAAGCTTTAATAATATGACTGTGATTTGTCATTACATGTAACTATCTCCACTATAGAAATAAAAAAAGAAGAAAGAGCAAATCTACTAGTAAATACTAGGAAGAAAAAGGAATTTCTACATATATGTAGTCTAAAACAATAATTTTTATTAGCTGTAGCAAAAAAAATTCATAGAAGTTGAAATATGAAGAAATTTATATGCTTAGATACTTTTTTTTTTCTATGGATAAAAGATCTAATTGATAGAGAAAACACCATAAAGATCAATTAGTGAGGTTTTGGATCAATCTAAAAAGAACTGCTTATTTATATGATGATAGGAAAGTTGGCAATCCATTTATGTAATAAAGTTAATCCCCTAAACTTTTGAGCAGTGGTATGGTATCAAATTTCAAAAATAGTAAGTCTTTTTCAACAATAAAATAAATTTAAACAATCAATTTATAAAAAATTTTAACATTAAATTTGTATCATCTAAATTAAATTTAAATTATCTAGATTGATAATAAACAAATTTACTAAAAAATTATAAATTTTTATTAATTAATTTGAATGACTTAGATTAAATTTGGACGTCAAAAGTCATCAAATGATGATATTGTCAAAGAAAGAAGAGAGATTTTTAATAAAAGATCGTGAAAAAATTTAATATCTAATAAAAATTTAAACAAATCACACTTATTAAAACTTAAATTTTATTTATTAATCATCAATATTTATTTGTTGAAAGTTCTTGTCACTATTAAAATATAGGGAGAATCACAGGTCCTAAAACAATAAAAAAATGTCACTTTGAGCCCAATATATACTCAAAATATTAATATTGTACTGCAGGTTTAAGAGCCCTTGTTCTAAATTTTTTAGGAGTGAAAGTATAACTTTACTTTTATGTGATTTGAAAACTAAATTATATACAACATAATATTCATGAATGCACAATATAATGTCCATAGACGTATAACACAATATTGATTATCTTTATTTGCATGTATAATATAATGTCCATAGATGCACAACACGATATCTATAGATATACAATATAATGTTTATAAATTCAAGATAATGTTTACGTGTGTATTCACATATGAACATTTAGTTAATAATGTATAAACATTATGTCGTACATTTATAGACATTGTGTTGTATATTGTGCTCGTCACTTATACATTTTTAAATATATTGATCAATTAAACATACATGAATATTGTGTTGTATATGATTTAAATTTTTAAATTATATAAAAATAAAATTGTACTTTTGCTCTTGAGAAAATTGTAACAAAGATCTTTGGATCTAGAGTGTAATAAAAGAATTTATTGAGCCTGCAGTACAATTTTTGCCTCTTTCGAGGCCAACTGCGCGATTCCCCCTAAAATATGTTCTCCAAAGAAAGAGAATTCGTTTCCTGTTTCGTCCCTGGTGCTGCCCGAGTTCCAGCTGGGACCCACTGGCCGTTTTTGTTGAAATTTAACAGTCATCATTGCCTGAACAGGATTTGGGACCATCGGACACGTATGACATAAGAGCGGAGCCCTAGAAGAAAGGTTATCATGAAATCTCGGATGGCCAATGGAGGTAAGGCGTGTTTAAAACTGTTTTTATTTTATTATTTTAAAAATTATTATTTTATAAAATACATTTTAAAAATAAAAATAATAAAAATAAATATTTTTTATTTTCTAAAACAATAATTTCATAATACTTAAAATTTGTTTTTATTTTTTTATTTTTTAAAATAATGTTTTTTTATTCTTTAAAATATTTTTTAAAAATACATTATCAAATAGATTTTTTTTTTTTTTATTTTGAAGAATAAAAAACTGTTCTCAAAATAGATTATCAAACAAGCCAATACTCCCTCACAACCTCATGTAATTTTTTAATTTTTATTTCTTGATTAATGTAAAAGTATTTAATATAATCATATCATTATTAAAAATTAATGATAAAAGATCAAATACATTTCATTTTTTATAATATAAAAAATTATTTTTTTAATGTTTGAAATAGTTAAAAGTACCTTATAATAAATAAATATATATATATATATATATAAAATAATGAACTAGAAATAATAATAAAAAAAATTGGGTATGCAGTAAAAAGAAAATAAAAGATTTCTTCAAGTTTGCAATGAATTCAAAGGACCTTTTTGTATTTTTCTTTTTTATAAGGGTTATTTTTACTTTTCTCACGTAATCCGATAATGCACAACCTATTTCTTCTTCCCAACTATGGAATCATTTTGACGCTCAACTTTTCAAATGAAGACCGGTGAAAGAGGCTCAAAACTTGTTCAAATGCATCCCTCTGTCTCGCCTCCTTCCCACATTTTCTTCCATCCCAGTGCACTAATTACGTCCATGCCATTCTCCTCATGCCGCATACACAAATGAACCATGTCACCTTCCCCATCAGGCGGAATTCTCCAAATTGGATCCGAATTCCCACCACCAGCAAATCACCCCGCTTCTGTGAATATTCCAAGGAATCTTGGCTGCAATTAAACAAGTTTGATTTCCGTTTAAACGTCTTCATCCTCATGAAGACAGATGGAAGCTGATGTGATCAACTCAGTCGCCTCAGAGCAATCGCTCTTTACTATCACCTGCCCAAAACCCATATCCCAAGCCCTCTTAAGTCAAGCCCATTACTCAGCAGATAACCATTCCTCTAGTGTGGACCGTGTCCTCATTCTCTCTGTTATAGAATTTTAGTTTTAATGGCCTTACGTTTTTTTTTTTCCTTTGACTTCCAATTGCAACATTTTGTGCTCTCAATGGAATTATAGTATAAGTTTAACAGTAAATTAAGAAGCTAATTAAGGAAGATATTTCTGTTTCTGAGGTTTAAATTGGACAACACATGAATACTTGATTAAGATGAAACTTGTTGAAAGCACATTACAAAGCAGAGAAGAACACCACCAGAAACAACACAACATCCTCAAACAATGCTTCAATATGAAGCCTAAAGTCCAAGTAAAACCATGAAATGAAAAACACGGCTTTAATTAATAGTGGCAAAACTACTTAAAGCATATTAAAAGGAAACAGAAACAGCACACAACCCTCACACAACATCAAAACTCCAGAAAATGGGGTGATGCAAAGACAACAAGCATTGTTTACTCTTTGGGTGGAGGTGGCCTCTTACTCCCATAGCTTATGAGGTCCCCTATCTGGTTCTTGGTGCTTCCCTTTGAGGAGGAAGACGAGCCCTTTGATGCATTATTTTCATTTCCATAATTCTTCTTATTCTTGTTCTCATCAGAAACATACTTGCTTCCATAACCTAAGTTATTTCCGATGCAGTTTTTTCCCTTCCAATTATTTGACGAACTCATCCCTGCATATTGGCAATCATCCCTCAGTTATTATTCTTTTATATATATAAATGATCCTGCTACCTAGAAATCAAGGAATGTGATTCAACACAACAGATATGGTTTTGGAAGCTCAACAAATAAAATATATGTGATGAATTTAAATGAGTAAACGGACGTAAAATTCTCAAATACCTTTACACATGAGACATGCACACTTGGAAAGTACTTACGCGATTCAAAACAAAAACAGGATTTCACTCCAAAACGAAAGACGGGGCAAATTCTCAGACTATCTTTATCAACGAAACTGCCAGATTGAAGCAACAGTGACAGATTCTCTCAAAAAAAAAAAACAAAAACAAAACAAAACACACTGACAAATCAAGCTAACAACAGAATCAGAAGCCAATGACTACGTGACCGAGCAGGGAGTGAAATTCAGTACCCTCTTCTCTGAGTTAATTGTACGAAGCAGGAAGTTGTCTTCAAGCCCAAGCGTAAAACGGGTTTTTCGGATCCGCGTCAGTCCCGATTCCATTAGCCACAAAATGAATCGAATTTGAAGGCGCAGAACACATATTCATGATCCAGAGAGAATTTCTACTAGTCCAGTCCCTATTGCTTGTTGTCTCTTCTCCGATTCTCGCCTCTCTCATCTCTTTCTCTACAATATTCTCTCTATTCTTTTGAGTTAACTGTACCAAGCTAGAGGTTGCCTTCAACCTCCAACGTGTTCACCCGCAGGTCTGAGACAGGTTTTTCGGATCCGTCTCGGACCCAACTCCATTAGCAGCAACATGACACAATCCACACCGACCCGTGGCGACTTGAACGTTCCGCAAGAAGCGATCGTGGGGAAAGGAGAGGATCCAAACGGAAGCGGAAGATTGAAGTCATCGGCGGCGGGGCTGGCGACCAGGTTTCATAGGCAAATGGGCGACGATGGGGCGACGAGGAGGACCATGGTGGTTCCAGCACCCCCGTCGCCCACTCAGTCGCCATCCCCTGAATCTCGTGCTCTCAGAGAAGCGAAGATGGCCGACGGATGGTGGTGGCTGGGAAAGTTCTTCAGTACGCTGTTGGCTCATTCACCGACCGGAGGCCAAGATGGAAGCCGTCGACGAGACGCGGCCATGATGAGGGCGGCGTCGTTGTGTTTGAGCAAGGTTCCAGCACCCCTGCCATTAAAAGAGCGCTGTCGATGGGGCAGCGACGAGGACCGTGGTGGTCCCATCACCCCTTTCGCCCGCTCATTTGCCGTCCCCTGAATCTCACGCGCTCAGAGAAGTGAAGACGGCCGACGAATGGTGGCGGCGGGGAATGTTCTTCCGTATACTGTCGGCTCATTCACTAACCATGGGCGAAGATGGAAGCCGTCGACGACGACGCGGCCATCATGAGGGTGGCGTCGTTGTGTTCGAGCGAGGTTCCAGTACCCCTATGGCCCACTCATTCGCCGTTCCCTGAGTCTCACGCTCTCGCAGAAGCGAAGATGGCTGACGAATAGTGGTGGCGGCAAATTTTCTTTAGTACGCTGTCGGCTTATTACTGATCTGAGGTGAAGATGGAAGCCGTCAACGACGGCGCGGCAATCATGAGGGTGGTGGTGTTGTAATCGGGCAAGGTTTCGTTGGCGCTGCTGCTCTCCACGATGATGATGGTTGATATCGGACGTGAAAACAAAGTAGAAACAAGCAATCCAAATATGTAGAGAATGGAAGAACGAACTTGCTTGTGTAACAGAAGAAATTGTAGCAGAAAAGGTTTTGTTGTCGAGAAATTTGAGTACACACTTAGGAAAGTTTACCTGCAGGGGAAGCGACACCGGCCGACGAATGCTTCCGGAGCTTGTTCAGGCCTTTCACCTAAAAGAAAGAGAGATTAATAATGCATAAATCAAAAGCTTAACGCTCTGATTCAGAAGGCTACCTATATGCTCGGTCAGTTGGCCGATTGATGGATGAGGGAAAAGAAATGAGAATGAATGAATGAGGCTATGATTTTCTTTTAGTGTATGACTGTACGTAGTATTTAATTTTTTTTGATATTAAATTTTTAAAAAATATATATAAGAAGGCTTTTTTGTCTTCGGCTTAGAAGCGCAAGGCCTTATAAGTCAAATTATCATTTTCTGGTACAAATAAAAAATAAAAGTCCAATTATCTTTGGCTAGGATTCGAAAGTGACAAGTTCTTTCTCGACATGTGGGTCTTGTCCCTCATTCATCTTTGCTCTCTGGTACCCTCTTAACGCGCTGTGATACTCTCGTCTGTCTTATTCATAAAATACTTTTTTAAAAAAAATTTTAATTTAAAATATAAGATATTTTATAATAATTAAATTATTTTTAATTTTATTTTTTAATTAAGCTAAAGATATTTAATTAATTGTATTATTATTTAAAGTTAGAGGTAAAAATAAAATTATTTCTGAATTTTTTATAATATAAAAATTATTTTTTTTTTGAAATGCATGAAACAATTAAAAATATTTTATAATAAAAATTGGAGGAAGTAATATATATTGTTGGACTTATTTTTTAAAAAATTGTCATCGAATCACATTTTTTAAAGGGACAGGAACATAACAGAAGGGAGAAAGAAATAGAGAGAATTCCAGCCTCGTTTGGTTTCTGTTTTTATTTTTAAAAATTGTTTTATAATATAATTTTCATAATATACTGCTTTTAAAATTAAAGAGTCAATAATTGTTAGAATAAAATACAATGACATTCCTATCATTTTGCAAAATTTTAGACACCTCTCATTTATTATCAAAATATACATTTTAGTCCAGTGTTTTAACATTGTCAGAAATATTTCATTAAAGATTCTAAAATATTCAATTTTTTATTTTAAATTATTTTAAAAATTAAAATTATTAATTTTCCCTTATAATTTAATTGTATACAATTTAAGAAAATTTAAATGATTAAGTATGATATTATTAAAATAAGTAATTAATTATAAATATTGTGTTCAAATTAATAAAATTTAAAGAAAAATAAACATAAATTATGTTGACTGAATTATTTCCCCTTATTATATATTAAATCCCTATTTTACCAAGGTGTATTTATATTTTTTAAAAAATTCCCTAATAATTAAGTTTTCAAAACTAAACAGCTTAAGACATGAACAAAATTAAAATTTAAAAAATATATGCATTAAATTTTTTTTGGATATCTTAAATAATTTTTAAATAATATTTGTATTTAAAGAAAGTATTTGGGTCTAATATATATGACTTAACAGTTAACTAATGGTTGAATAGATGAAAAAATAAAATTTTAACAATAGAAGGGAGGTTTAATTTGTGTTTTGAAACTAATAATTTTAGGAGAAGTTATTATATATTTATAAGATAGGAGAGAGACGTCTATAATTAAGAAAAATGGGACCGAAGCGTATATGTTTTTCTTTTCTTTTCTTTTCTTTTCTTTTTTGTTGGCCAAAAGTGCTTATGTTTTTCACTCTTATTGTAATTATAGACCATCCGTTTCTTTTACTACTCGTATGCCACTTTAAAATATAAGATTCTGTTTCCATTTATATTTCATTTTATAATTCTAAGACAATATCAACCATGATTTTTCGAATAAATTTTTATATTAGCACCCTTACTTATTTACTATATACGTTAATTATTATATTTAATGATGGTGTCATGAGTCTCTCATTAACATTTTGGACATTAGAAAGGACAACATATATCCCAAGTCCAGAATCTCCATGGATAAAGTTAAAATGGACATCCAATTGCTATTAAAAATCATTCTAGCTTGCTGTAACATATCCACGTAAGGATGATTTTGAGCAAAATTTCGTGTAATTAAGTTAATTGCATTTGCACAGTTGAATTTCTCGTTTTAAAATGTATTGTTTATTTCTTGTTTTTTTTCCTCAAACTTTGATTCGCATTCTGTATTCTGGATATAAACTTGTCTTATGAGATGCGTTCTTCAGGTTATTGTCCCCCCCACCCCCCAAAAACGAATCAATCTTGCGGATGACATAGTTCTGTCCAGTATTTTTTTTTTTGGTGGGATAAAAATTATAAATATATATAAAGTAATAATTGCTTTTGTTTTAACTCAAATGAAATTTTCATTTAGTCTTTTATAATTTTGACTCATTTATAACTCAACTCTTAAATTTTAACTTGTTGTAACTCATTTTTAAAGTGTTGACTCGGTTATAACTTAATCCTTTAACTTTCACTTATTACAACTCAATCTTTATAATTTTAATCATTCAAAATATCAGTTATTATTATTTGTATCTTAAAAATAAAATTTTAAAAATTAAAATTATGTTGACATTCATGGATTAATTTAAAATTACTATAATTTTTAATTTGATAAAGAGTATAAAGATTTATCTTTCTAATTTTATTTTTTAAAATATAAGAACTAATTTTTAAATAATTAAAATTATAAGGATTAAGTTGTACTAAATTAGAGATTAAGTTAAGCTAAGTCAAAATTATAGAGATCAAATAAGGCATTTCCTATTAAATTGTTGTAATCAATAAAAGTTGGGGATTTATCTGTACTTTCGTGAACAACAAGTTAGCAACATTGTTTTCGCTCTTTTGAATTAACTTTGATAATATTTCGAACAAGGTTATCTTCAATGAAAAAAATATTTGTAAGTTAAAAAAAATTTGACCTAAAAAGCTTCTAAAAGAATAATGAAGAGGGGCTTTTTGGGTGCATCCATAAAAAAAAACTTATATATTTAAACTTATATATTTAAAGTGTATGTATCTAATTAAACTAAAATATGTGAATCTTTTATAAATAATTATTTCTATAATAAATACTTGTTATTAATGAAATTAATGCATTAAAATTTATATATCATGATTTAATTTACTATAAATATATTAAATATATAAAATTAGTATATAAGTCTTGTCTTATAAAAAATTCAACATATTATCACGTGGTTAGCATCTTCTTTTCTTTTGGAGAATTACATTCAAGAATCTAAAAAAAAATTATTTATAAATAATAACTAATAATAAGTCTTATAGGGAAAAAGTCCATGTTTTCATTTTGAAAGTAATTCATTTTATATTTAATTCTTATTTGTGAATAATTATTTTTTAAATCCACAAATATAATTTTACCTTTTATTTTTGGTGTACCTATCATACGTGCACGTCACTCCTTTCTCAAATATAACAGTCTTTTGGATGTCCTAAGTTATAAAATATTCTTCTAGTCTCATTTATATAATAATTATAAAAAGTTAATTTTATCTTATTTACTATAAGTTATGGCATAATTTTTTAGGTAAGATTTAAAGTGTATTTTTAAAATTATCCTTACATGATATTATTTTTAATTTTTATATAAAGATATATTTAAAATTTTATACACTTTTTTTTTTACTTTTTTACATTATTATTGATGAGATTAGTATAAGTGACTTATAAAAAAAAAAGGTGAGTGAGTTTTTGGAGGTATTTCAATGTTCTAAAGTATAAAATAATTTAATGAAAATAAATTTTTATTAATGATGATTTTCAATATTAACTTTTATGTGGAGAACAAATTGAAATAATTGTAGTGAAATGATTAATTTTGTAGATTTAAAATTATATTAAATGAAGAAATTTTTAAAAATTTATATTTTTATCTTAAAATATGTAGTAAAGTGTAATTATTGAGTTTTATTAGTACACTCAATCTTATCTCAAAATATCTTCTAATTTGAAATGAAGGGCTATAATTTTTTGTTAAACACATTAATATATATATATATATTTATATTATATTATTATGATAAATACGAGTTGCAAGAACTTTCACTGAACGGAACAATATTATAAAATTATTTTAATTATAGTCAAGTCAACTAATATTTTTCATCATAATTGTATGTTATTAATGTTATATATTTTTTAAGGACAAAAAAAAACTACTCCATCTAGTCTGTCTATTACAATACGTCTTTCAAAAGGATTCTTTGATCTTAAATACAAGATACTTAATTGAACATTAATATTATTTTTATTTAAATTTATTAATTATGAGAAAGAATGGATAATAAATTTATAATTTTTTAGTTAAATAAAAATAAAATTAAAAATTTATTAAATATTTAGACAAAATTAATAACTTAGCTAACACCTTACCCCCCTCATTAGTTAGTAGCAGTGTAGCTGATCCGCATTATCATGACGGTGATATCACGAGATCGACCGTGCAATTTCAAGCGTTGGTGATATCGACGGCGACGGTGGTGGATGATATCGGACGTGAAAACAAAGTAGAAACAAACAATCCCAAATATATGAAGAACGGAAGAACGTGTTTATTTATGCAACAGAAAAAATTTCTTCAGAAAATAATTTCGATGTCTAGAGATGATATTTGAGTCTACATACATACATACAGAGGAGTTTGCCAGTAGAGGCCGCAACGTCGGCGGATGATTTTTTCCGAGCTTGTTCACGCCGTCGCGTAAAAGAACAAAGACATTAATAATGCATAAATCAAAAACTTAGGTCCTGTTTGCTTTAAAAAAAAAGGAATAGAATAGATTGAAAAAGTAAAAATAAAAACAAGACGTTTAAATAGAATAGACCAGCACATTAATAAGAAAAAAGGTAATTTAATTCATGAATTCACAATCATGATTCTTAAAATTTTTGAAAGGTTGCTGAAAGGTTTTTCATAATTATAATATATATTAATGTTTTTTATTATGTTTATCATAGAAGAAAGGATAATTTAATTTATTTTTATCTTAATTTTTTAAATTCATTTTACTTTTCTTTTAATAATTAAACGGGATTCAGAAGTCTGTAATTAGAATTTAAGAAGACATGGCATGGCCGCCAAGCTCCGGAAAAAATTTCATGTTTCCGCACAAGTCTGCACCGTCCATCTGGACGTCTAGATTTAATATAATTTTACTTTTATATTTTTAATATAACTGCCGCGCCATGTCAAGAAAGGCGCACATTTGTGTAATTTAATTATATAAATGAATACTACTTAATATGCAGTTATGAGA